AAATTGAAAGGGAAATTGCTTTTGGGTTATGAGGTTATCCGGTTGGGTTTAAAACCATTTCAATTTGTGATTTCGATTTTGGTTGTTGTATTGAATATGTATCCGGATTTAGGAGACATCAAGAGCTTGTGAGAGGGTTTATGAAAAGTGCAAGAATGTTGGTGAAAGACGAAGAAAATGGAGGAGAGATTCATGTGACTCATAAGACAGAGTATCCATTTAAGGAGTGGAAGTTAAAAGCTCTAGGTGAAAAAGAAGGTTTACAATTGATCCGCGAGATCGAGTTTTGCTTAAATCAGTATCCTGGTTATTCAAACAAGAGAGGAAATGGAGGTTACAGTGACTCAAGTTTCCCTGTGGGAAAATCTGCTACTTTCATGTTTGAAAAACAGTTCTTTTATTAATTTGCGTACTTGATAGTTTTGGAAAACAGTGTTTACTAATCTCTATGATAATAACTAGTCATGCATGTAGACAAAGTATGGGGAAAACTTACTTTACAGTCCAACTCCTTCATACCCAAAGCTTTCAGCTTCCACAGACAAGCAAACATAATAAACTGATGTTTTTGCTGTCACTTAAAAAACAAAGACGATATATCAGAAGAAAAAACCTTCAGAGTATGAAAATAGCCTGAAACCATAAAATCCTAAGCTATCAACTTACACAGATTTCTCTATCCACACCAGAAACCTGAAAGCATACACAAAACCATAAGAATTTAATTATTTTATAATGATGTGTTCCACATCAACAATCAAGAGATGAGGTGGAGAGAAACCAATCTCTTTACTATTAAAACCAAGAGGAAATTTGGAAAAATACTTTGAAATGAGATTAAAATTTGAAAACTACATTTTTTTTTTTTGAAAACTACATTTTTCCCTAATTTAATTTATTATATTATCCTTATCAACAATTTATGATTACTTCAATATCTAATTTGAGATAACAAGATATCGTGTAAAATTTATTTTTTTATTTGTTTTTAAAATAGAATTTGACAATTGTTTAAGCGCTACAAGTCTACAGGACCAATTTCTCTTCCACATTTTCCGAAACTTAAAATAACGTCGCAAACTCCATAGCCTTATGTCCCAATTCCTATTTTGGTTTTAGATTTACGTATGTAGATTTACGCAATAATCAGCTTTTGACTATATTTTATTAGGATCTCGTTTGTAAGTGTATGGTATCGACACTAGACTTGATATGCTTTGTGAGTTGTGATACTGTCTTCGCCAGCTTTTGACTATATCTTAGGATCTTGGTTTTAAGGTTAGGAATGATTTACATGTCGAGATATGTTTCTTCATGTCTGATGGTGCTGTAATTACATTTACATTGTAAATTTTTCAAAGCAGTTAGAAGATCAGACTGCCCTAAATTC